CACAAAAGAATTGCACTGGACCTGGTTATCAGCTGGGGGAGGATTCACAGTTTTCTGTGGGTATTGAGCCTCCAACATGACCTCCGCCTGTCCCTCCATTTACTGGTACTTTCTCTCATTTCTTTCACCCCTACATTATAGTTTTCGGCAAGGGCTGGTTTTGTACCCGGAGACTTTTGAACAAATGGTATTGAATTAATAATTGATGGTCTGATAAATAGAATTTTATTTTCCATTTATCATAATAGTATCTTCCCATCTTGCATAGATTTAAATGGGAAAATGGGAATTGCTTGAAGCAAGAATATTAAACACAGAGTAGTGGTTGGGGCTAAGACATTGTGACACAGTGTGAGAGGCCCTGTTGTGGGTTCTGGTCGCTCTACCAATATGGCCACACGGGCCTCCCACACTACAGCTCACGCAGATCACATAGAAATTGCGAGGCAGAGCTGGGGCACACACCTAGGCCACCTTCCCAGGGCCCCAGACCCCAGCTCTCAAGAAACAGCAGCACCAGAGAGGGCATGAGAGTGCCAAGAGGGAGCAGAAGGAAGGCAGATAACGCTGCTGCTCCGCTGCTATGCAGAACTCGGTCACCAGAGCCGAGCGCTGGCACTCACGCCTGCCATCCTAGCCGAGATGTGAGAATTATGGTTTAAAGCCAGAAATGGGCAGATACGTCTGTGAGACTCTTATCTCCCACCAACCAGCAAAATACCAGAGTAGATGGGATGGTTCAAGTGGCAGAATGCCAGCCATGAGCAAGAAAGCTGAGCAAGTGTGAGGGCCTGAGTTCAATCACTGGTACCAACACAAGAAGCAGGAGGAAGAAGAAGGAGGAAGAGGAGGAGGAGGAGGAGGAGGAGGGGGAAAAGGAGGAACAGGAAGAGGAGGAGGAGGAGGAGGAGGAGGGGGAAAAGGAGGAACAGGAAGAGGAAGAAGAAGAAAAAGGAGGAGGAGGAGGAGGAGAAAGAAGAGGGGGAGAAGGAGGAACAGGAGGAGGAAGAAGGAGGAGGAGGAAGAAGAAGGAGGAGGAGGAAGAGGAGGAGGAGAAAGAAGAGGGGGAGGAGGAGGAAGAAGAAGGTAGAGGAAGAGGTGGAGGAGGAAGAGGAGGAGGAAGACGAGGACGAGGTTGAGGAGGAGGAGAAGAGGGAGGAGGACAAAGAGGATGTGGAGGAGGAGGAGGGCCCGTCCTGGCGTGGAATCATGTGCTAGGGCTTGTGGGCCGGTGCCCTGCACATGCCAGCATCTTACCATGCTCACCCAGCTACGGTCCATGCGGCCATTCCAGTTAGCTGTTCTGTACATGGCCTCGTCCAATTTAATAAAAATCTCTCCCTCCCAACGAGGTGGCTCATGATGTCACCTCCCTGGGGAAAGCTGGGAAAATGACCTTGCATCTCCTAAAAGGGAAGGATTAATTTTTATGAGCTGCCCCTGCTAATGAGTGTTTAGACAGATCAATAATAGTTCGAGGGGGATGCAAATCTTACTCACGGAGTTGAGAAAACATGTCGCTTCCCCATAAATGGCTGTATATCTCCATGGAGGCCTGTTGACTGGCACTGGGCAGCCAGGAGCACCAGCCCGGGGGCGGGGGCAGCAGTGCAGCAGGCCCTGTGGCCCTGCCTGAGGTCCCACTCCACCCCCCACCCCCGTGGGATCCATGAGCCTGTCACCCACTGGCGGATGGCACAGCTCCCAGATGCCTCACCTAGAGACAGAGCCTGGCACTCAGTACCCCAAGTGAGCCTTCAAAGCATTGAGAAGCAAAGAAGGACCCACGCGATGAAACACAGATCTTGTGCCAGCAACACGCCTGGGAACCACACCTTAACACCGACTTAAGGACCACCAGTCACTCTCCAGAGCATGCCTCCCTCTTCGGTGAGATGCTTTCTCCCATCCTCATCCACAGCCCCCGTCCATGGGGGACACCTCCCAAGACCCCCCAGAGAACATCTTAGGCCACACACAGTGTGCTGTAAGCTGTCACTCCCCAAACCCACTGATTCAACCAACTGTGACTCACGAGGAGTGTGGGGGAGAACAGCTTCAGGACCTACACGAATGGGGGTCGCTCCATCCTCATTCCCTCAGAATGTGGGGAGCCCTCCTCGCATCCGTGTCCCGGGAGTGGGTCTCACAGCTGGTCGGAGCCGCAGGGAGGCTGCGTGGAGGTCATGTGCAGATTCTCCCTGTGCCGTTTCAGGTAAGGGCCTGGTGCATCCGAAGCGGTGCGGGGACCCTGTCCCCTTGAATATCAAGGAACGACATCTCTACCCTTAAAACCCATGTATCCAACAGGCAATGATGGGGTAATGGTAGGAGATTAACGATCATAGCCAATGATCAGGTAGCACAACTACAAGAACACACTGTGATAGAAGTTATGTCAATGTTCCCTCGGTGTCTCTCTCATACACACACACACACACATACGCAAGCACACATGGTATTCTATGGAATTTCCATGCTTAACGTCAGCCTTTAGCCTGTGTAAATAGTGGCTACTCTCACACTCTGGGGCCTTTGGTGATCCCAGCTCTCAGGGGCTGTGACCCCCTGTGCTAGCATGACAACTGGCCAGGGCAAGTGACTGGTGGGGGGCAGAGGGAGGGGCACTGAAGATGAGTGGACACAGCCCCGCCTTGACCTTCACCTGTCAAGCACCACTCCGGACTCTCTTAGCCTGCACCTCGGAGCTGGAACAGAACCTGGACAGATGGGAAGGCATCTGGGAGGGGCGGACCTGCTCCTTGGGCCTTTCATCGCAGCAAGGAATGGCGGCCATCATCAACTCCAGTTTGGGAGGCCAATGTGTGCCTCATACATCAGGCACAGGATCCCAGGGTGTGTGTGTGTGTGTGTGTGTGTGTGTGTGTGTGTGTGTGTGTGTGTGTGTGTGTGTGTGAGACTGTCTGTCTGTCTGTCTGTCTGTACTGGGGCTTAGATTCAGGGCTTCACACTCTCCGTTGGCTTTTTCGCTCAAGCTTGATGCTCTGCCTCCGGAGCCACAGCTCCACTTTCAGCTTTTTGGTAGTTAATTGGAGATATGAGGTTAAGATTTTCCTGCCCAGACTGACGTAGAGATCTCAGCCTCCTGAGAAAAGAACTCGAGCTCCCGCAGGGAGCTGGCAACACTGCATGCTCTGGGATCGAGATCTTTCCCAGGTGCTGATCTGGAAAATCATTTCTTCCAAGAACAGCCTGCTGTGTGGCCCTGGGTACGTTCCTGCGCGTCTCTGAACTGCAGTTCCCACCGAGATAATAGCAAGAAACCAGGCCAGTCTCTGAGATCTTTGCAGGAGTTCAGAGCTCTGAGATGACATCAAGGACCTGGTCTCTGTGCCAGGACATGATCCGGGAGTGTCTCCTGGCTCCCATGTTCAATGTGAGCAGACCCAGACTTCCAAGATCCATCTCACCGGGTCCCATTGACAAGTCCCCTCAGCCTCCAGGGCCCATGGAGCCCCACTGGCCAGGACACAGGGGAGGGGGCGGCCCCCAGGCTGGTATGAAAGCCGCCTGCCGCCCTGCCAGTGTGTCCTCCCTGGCAGCTGGCCGTGCCAAGCAGCCCTGCCCAGACTGCACGAGGAGCTGGTCACGGCCTGCCAGGCCTGCTGAGTCCCCCCCTCCTCCCCGCCTGTTTCTCATTTAGAGCAAGCCCCGGCTACAGCCCAGACATTCCAGAAGGGACAGTCAGACACCAACCCACCCAAGACCTGGGAAGCCAGGCTGCAAGCCACCCATGGTCAGATCTAGGCGCTTTCCCCCGCTTCTGTGTATGAAAAGTCACTGAACCCCCAGAGGAGCTGGCTCTGCCCTTCTTGGGACCCAGAGAGGCAGAATGGACCCCCATGGAGGGGCCTCATCCATCAGCAATAAAGCAACTCTCCTGCTGCTGACCAGCCCAGCCTCTACGGGCCATCCTCCTTCCTGACCTTGCTCGGGCTAGTCTCTACCTCTGCCCAGCCCCTGCTCCCCGGCAGCAATCTAAGGCCTCCCGGTGGAGGAAGCACTGGAACCTCCAATCACTACTAATTAGGTGTCAGCTGAGCCCTGCCCCCCCCCGCCAGGGCAGGTAAGGTCCCCCCTACTAGCCGCCCCTCTGAGGACCCTGCCCTTCACACAGCTTGAGTGAGTTAATTATAGATTCCTGCCTAATGACATAAGTAGCGTCCCTGAATTCCACCAAAGTGACAATTTGCCATCCACAGAAAGCCAGCTGCCAGTGCTGCTCGCAGGCCGGCTGGGTACCCAGGAGCCCCCGGTTCTCCCGGCCCCGCCCTCCACCTCCTGACCAGCACCTGGATTATGCTTGCTTGGCTTGCTAGTCAAAATACATTCTTTCTCCTGTCAGGACTGCCATTTCAGCCCCAAAGGTAGAACCTGTGCTTTTTTTTGCTCTCTCTCTCTCTCTCTCTCTCTCTCTCTCTCTCTGTGTTTCTATCTCTCTTTTTCTCTCTCTCTTTCTCGCTCTCTCTCTCTCCTCCCCTTCTTTCTTTATTTTGTCTTTTTGCTTCCTGATTTATGAGTCCTGGTGAATGGAATCAAGGACTTTAGGAAATCATTCCACTGGATGGTTCCTAGAAAATATTAAAAATAGAATTATGCCACGATACAGCAAGCGCAGGGTCAGAACCAGGTATATTTGTACACTCAGGATAGCCAAGGCAGGGAGCAACCAAGAGTTCCTGTGCAGAGAAATGGATTAAAGAGGCTGATCTGTGTGTTCGGCAGAATATTACTCAGCCTTGAAGAGGAGGGAAACTGTGGCACCTGAGACACCGTAAATGAAGCTGGAGCCCGCAGAGTGGCTGGAAGAAGCTGGTCCCACAAAGACCTGTGCTGTCCCGTTCCACCCTCGTGAGCTCCTGAGCTCAAACTCGGGACAGGGTTGAGGAGAGGAAGGAGTTTCATGCTTAAATAGGTACAGAATTTCAGTTTGGGAAGACGGAAAGTTCTGGAAATGGATACTGGCCACGGTTACTTACCTGTGTGAAGGGCTCCCTCAAAAATGGTTACAATGATCACCTTCATGTCACGGGCACTCTCCCCAATGAATAAGAAGAGAATACATCCAAGTCATGTCTACGTTGCCACACCTAGCCTAGGACCTGGCACGTAGCTGGTGCCCAACAAAAACCTGTTGAGTAATCAAACTAGAGCTGACTGCCTTCTGAACAGGTTTAAGGTTAAGAAAGGGTGTGAGGTAAGGGGTTTGTGCATTTTGGTTTGGGGCTGTAGTGCTGGGACTGGGATTTGAACTCAGGGTCTGGCACTCCTGCTCAAGGCTGGCCCTCTACCACTTGAGCTGTAGTTCCACTTCTAGCTTTTTGCTATTAACTTGAGATAAGTGTCTCACATCCTTATGTGCCCAGGCTGGCTTTGAACTCTGATCCTCAGGTCTCAGCCTCCTGCGTAGCTAGGATGACGGGTGTGAGCCACCGGCACCTGGTGTAGGGTTGTCTTATGACACTTCTGTACCATGTGACTGGGCCTCACTTCCAGGGTTTCCCGGGGAGACTCCATGGCCCCAGCTGTGAAGCAGGAGCTTCCCTCCGTGGGAGGCTCTGTGCTCTGGACCGCGGCCATCATGGACCCTAGGCCCGCTCCAAACACCCCACCTTCCCTGGGTGCACCTCTGGCTCTGGACTCCAGGGCCAGATACCTGTGTTTGGTACCTGCCTGGGTGGGGTATCCTGCAAAGAGTGCCTTTCCAGCCAGGAGCAGCAACCACTGGCCTGGATCTGCACGTGCCCTGGCCCCTTCCAGCCGTGCTGTGGCTCTGAGGACAGCAAGTCCCCGGGGAGGGCTGCACCCGCTCCTGCCAAGCCGAGGGATGAGATAAGGCCCCAGGACAGATACCACACAGGGTCTGCCTCTCTGAGTGAACTGTAAGAAGCAGCCCTGAGCCGGGCGCCGGTGGCTCTCGCCTGTAATCCTAGCTACTCAAGAGGCTGAGGTCTGAGGATCGTGATTCAAAGCCAGCCCAGTCAGGAAAGTCCCTGTGAGACTCTTATCTCCACTAAACCACCAGAAAACCAGAAGTAGTGCTGTGGCTCAAGTGATAGAGCACTCACCCTCACCTTGAGCTGAAGAGCTGAGGGGCAGTGCCCAGACCTAGAATCAATGAAGGAGGAGGAGGAGGAGGAGGAGGAGGAAAGGAAGGAAGGAGACGAAGGAGAAAAAGAAGAAGAAGAAAAGGAGGAGGAGGAGGAAGAGGAGCAGGAGGAGGGGGGAAGGAAGGAAGGAAGGAGAAGAAGAAGAGGAGGAGGAGGAGGGAGGAAGGAAGGAAGGAAGGAGAAGAAGAAGAAGAGAAGGAGGAGGAGGAGGAGGAGGGGGAGGAAGGAAGGAGAAGAAGGAGGAGAAGGAGGAGGAGGAGGAGGAGGAGGAGAAGAAGAAGAAGAAGAAGAAGAAGAAGAAGAAGAAGAAGAAGAAGAAGAAGAAGAAGAAGAAGAAGAAGAAGAA